GCTGGGTCAGTGAGGCGATCGAGGAGCCGTTGTTTATAGTGGCCGGCTCCGGGTCCGGCGCTCTCTGCGAGGGCGGGAACTCACCCGGCTGGGTCAGTGAGTCGGTGGAAGACCCGGTGCTCGTCGTCTCAGGCAGCGGCTGGGGCGCCCTGTGTGGCGTCGGTGGCCGGAGGCGGGGCGCCAGGGCGGCCACCCACGGGAACAACGGCCACGCCGAGCCGGTGGCGGTCGAGTCGGCGCCGGCGGCCGGCAACGGCGAGCTAGAGGGTGAGGGAGACGCCGGGTCCGTGCCGGCGGCCAAGAAACGCGGCCGGAAGAGGAAGAGCGAGATCGAGAGCCTGGTGGCCGCCGAGGGCGCGGAGGTGGACGACGGAGGCAGCCGCCGACGGTCGTCCCGGGTCGCCAAACTGCGGGAGAAGGAGGAGGAGCAGCGGAGGATCGAGGAGGAGGAGCGGCTGCGCGTGCTGAAGGAGCAGGCCGAGCTGAGAAAACTGCGCCAGCAGGAGCGCGAGGGCCGCCGCGCCCAGCGGAAGGAGGAAAAGAAGAAGAAACGTCGAAAGAAGAAGGCAGCTCTGGCGGAAAGTGATGAAGAGAATGATGATGAACAAAAAGCAAAGGCCAAGAAGAAGAAACGCAAAAAGAAGAAAAAGAAGGGCGGCGGCAATAACCCATGGGTGTCCTCTTCGGGGACCAGCTCCAGCTCTGAGGAGGACGAGGACGAGGAGGAATTATTCGCTCACCACGCCGCAGAGGAGGAGGACATATTCCGCTCGGACCACGAGTTCTCTCCAGAGTCCGACAACGACCAGCAGGAGTGGGTGCCGGTGAAGCACGCGCGCACGGCCCGCTCGGCGCGCAAGGTGGCGCGCACTGCCGCCAGCGACCCGCTGGAGTCGGCCTCGGAGGAGGAGTCAGCCGACGAGGTGGCCAAGGAGGACCAGTGCCGAAAGTGCGGCCACGGCGACCACCCCGAGTGCATCCTGCTCTGTGACGACTGTAACGCCGGCTGGCACACCAACTGCGTGCGGCCGCCGCTGCTCAGCATCCCGGAGGGCGACTGGTACTGTCCGCCCTGCGAGCACAACCGGCTGGTGGCGGCGCTCACCGCGCGGCTCGAGCAGTTCGACGCCGCCCTCCAGCAGCGGGAGAAGGAGCTGATCCGCAAACAGCGGCTCGACTACGTCAACATTAGTATGGGCAACGTGCTGCCAACGCCGCCTCGGCGGCCTAAGAAGCCGCGCAAACGCGAGGACGACGGCTCGGAGGCGTCGGTTGGCGAGGACGGCAGCAGCTCGGAGGACGACTCGTCCGAGGGTGACTCCGAGTCCGAGTCGGAGGACGACTCGGAGTCCTCTGAGGAGTCGGACGAGCCCATCTACACGCTGCGCGCCCGCCGCCAGGTGGCCGAGGTCAGCCAGAAGGTCAAACAGTTCGACGAGCTCATCGATGACGCCATACGGGTGAGTGGGGAACCGCGGGCGGCCACGGCGGGCTGGAAATTAGTCAGTCACACAGTCTTTGGGAATCTATAATAGACTTTGTCGCAAGATTCTCGTGAATCATACGCTAACCATTTATGATTTGTTGTGAACTTTATAATCGACGCACTGGGATCAACTAAGTCGCTTGAGTGGCTAGTGATGCGTTTCTATCGGGCAAACATAATGCACGGCAATATTTTCGGCGTGTTTTTGTGTGTCAAAGCTGCCTACTATGCTACCATTACTTCGCTCGTTTTTACCAACCAATGTCAACGCCTTGTAAATCTTCTAGTGCATTTGATGTTGTCTCCCCTTTGGCCCACCGCCGTTGCTGATTGCCTCTGCTCTTCTGTCTGACAGGACGAGCTGGAGTATGTGCGCGGCGCCGGTAACGCCGGCCGAGGCAAGGCTATGGAGAACATCACTGAGGCTGAGGCCGCCGATAAAGCACCTGCCGAGACCGCTGCCGACGAGCAGACGACCCCTGCCGCCGAGGATACCGCCGACGCCGCCCCGGCTGCTGCCGCCGCTTCCGAAGCCCCCGCCGACGCCGCATCATCGTCAGACGAGGAGGTGGCGCCGCCGCGTCCGACAGCGGCCGCCCGCAAACGAAAACGGCGCATCAATGACCTGGACGACACCGGCGACGACGACGATGACGAAAAGGACGCCAGCTTCAAGGCGACCAGCGAGTCCGAGGCCGAGGAGGACGAGTACAATCCTGACGAGCTCTCGTCGGCCGAGAGTGAGCTGGAGACGCGCCGCGGCCGGCGGAGAGCGGCGCGCGAGCCCACCCGGCGCTCGGCGCGCGCCGGACGACGGCAGAGATACGTCTCTGACGACAGCAGTGACGAGGAGTGGGGCGCGCGCCGCGGGAAGCGCTCGCGGCCGATGCGCGACTTTGTGGTCTCCGGGGACGATTCGGAAGAGTCGGACGGCACCTGGGGACGCAAGAAGCGCCGGAAGAAGGCGCCGCCGCGCGCCCGGTCGGCCAAGGCGCGGAAGAAGGGCGGCGGTAGCGGCGGCAAGGCGCGGCCGAAGAAGCGGCGCGCGTCCGGGGACCCTCCGGCGGAGAAGCCGCGCAGGCGGGTCAAGTACGCTGAGCCGGAGGAGCAGCCGGAGCCACTGGCGCGGCGCACGCGCGGCAAGGTGACCAACTATGCAGCGATCCTGGAGTCCGAGTCGGACAGCGACACACTGAGGCCCATCGAACCGATGAGCTTCGGCCGCAAATCGAAGCGCAGCTCATCGGAGAGCGAGGACGCTTACAAACCGCCTGCCGATGAAAAGAGCGAGTCCGATGAGCCGGTGGAGAAGGAGGCGGAGGAAGAGGCTGGAGAGGAGGAAGAAGAGGAGCTAGACAGCGGAGAAGACATGAACACCATTCCTCAGAAGAAGGAGAAGCCCAAGCCGACTCCGCCGAAGGAGAAGGCTGCGGATCCGCCGGCGGCTGAGTCTCCTCCCCGGCAGGCAGCGGCGGAGCCGGCGGCGGCGGCCGACTCGCCGGAGCCGCAGGAGGAGCCGGAAGAAGAAGAAGAGGAGGAAGAGGAAGAAGAGGACGAGCCGGAGCCGACGGATCTGGCTCCGGCGGCGGAGCCGACGCCGCTGGAACCGACGGAGCCGGCCGCGCCGCCGCCGCCGCCCACCGCGCAGCCCCTGGAGCCGATCCAGCGGTCGCCGAGTCCGCCGGCGGCGCCACAGCCGGGCAAGGCGCCGCTGCACCCGCCGCCGGCCGGCATGGCGCTGCCGCCGATGCGGCTGGGCGGCCCGCCCGGTCCCGGCGGTCCCGTGCCCGGGATGCCGGGCGCCCCTCCGCCGGCTGGCGGCCGCGGTCTGCCGATGAGCATGGCCGGTGGTCACATGGTGGTGCGGCCGCCGCCGCGCTACCCGGGCGGCCCGCCGCCCGCCTCCATGCCACAACCATTCCACTCGCACCCGGGCCTGCCGGTGAGCGTGGCGGGCGCCACCCACCCGGGTCTGCCGGGCCACCACCCGTACGGGCCGCCCGGCGCGCCGCCGCCGCACTTTTACGGCGGCGCGCCTGGCCAGCCGTACCCGGGCCTCCGGCCGCCGGCGTCAATGCCCGGCGGTCCGGCGCCGAGCCCCCATCAGCCGTGGCGGACGGGGCCGCACCCCGTGTATAGCATGCGGCCACCGTACGGCGCCGGTCCGCCGCCCCAGTACGGGCCGCGGCCGGGCGAGCCGCCTCCCGGTCCGCCGGGTCCGCCCGGCCCTCCGCACGGGCCGCCTCAGCCGCAGCAGCCGCCGCCGCCGCCACCGCCGACATCGTCCGCCAGCCAACCGCCGCCGGAGGCTGACGGCAGCCGGGAGTTCGGCGGGCTGGTGTCCTACTTCACCAGCCAGGCGCAGAACGACTGAGCACGCCCGTCTGACTCATTCTCGCCGCCCATATTCACTCACACATCATACATTCACGCGCGCGCGGCGCCGCGCACCGCCAGGCCGGCCGGCGAGTGGCGCCCACCAGCGCCGCTCTGCGCGCGGAGGGAACCTAGAGCTATTTATTTCCCTCTCCGTTTTGTGCTGGTGCGCCGCCGGCCTGCCCTCCATTGCAGTCATTCGGGGCCGGGGTGTCCCGTGTCCGCCAGCGGCGACGGCCGCCGATCGCGCCAGTCGGCCGCAAGGGTATCAGCTATCATGTCGATTTACTTTTTAACATTGCGAGCGTTATTGTTTGGAGTCGGGTGTAGTTGATGCATCTCCGTGTTTTGTACGATATGGTAGTTGGAAAATGAAGTGAAATATATGCGCTTCGTATCATAAACAGCTTTTGCTGTTTGCGACCGGGAGACAGACTTATCGACACTACCGGGAAAGGCCAAACTACTTTTCTACCCGACTTGCTATATTACAGGGGTTACAGGGATCACATATACTTTCTTGTAAACGCCGATAAATTATGCTCTAAGGCCTGTCACGATGACCTAAAGTAAACTAAGTCAGATAGCCCTCCTCACTAACATAAACTCAGTGGAAAGCGCAACTGCTATCGTGACGACCAGCCACATAAGTATTCCTCATTTCAAATCGGGGGTGGACGAATGTGCCGAGTTGAGGTAGCACGGACGCAGCAAATCCGCCGCCGCCCTAGCGGTGACCTTGACCTCCGCCGTCTGTTGCGGCTCCAAAGCCAAGCCGCGGCCGCCACCCCTCCGTGGCATGCCTGCAGTGCCCCGATAAGCGGTGCCCCGCGGCGCTCTGCGCCGTGTGCCGGGAGGAGGCGGACGTGCCGGAGCACGTCTTGCTCCGCTGCCCGGCCCTCGCTGGCGCCCGCCTGCGGCTAACTGGCAGCATCTACGTCGACCCGTCGCGGCTGCGGGACGCCGACTTGGTGGCTGCCTTGGAGGCCGGCTACCTTCGCCATAGGGAGCCTCTCGGCTATGGTCCTCCGTAAGGAGGTCCCAGGGGGAACAACAACAACAACAACAGCCGGCGTGGAACTGGGAAAGCTCGTGCTACCCCAACTCGGCACAAATATCCACCCGTTTCAAATATCAATCAAGTTTAATCATTTATTTGTAAATCAGGCGACAGATTGAGTTGAAGAGCACAGTACAATGGTCAGATTATGTACATACTGCAGGACGCCGGGGGCGTCAGTAAAAAACAGCCACCAGATACCGGAACAGTCGAGGGCTGGTCGCGGCGGGACAGTATCGTACGAATGTCTTGTTAACCCGGACGGATCACCCCGGGCCCTCAGTTATCCACAATACGCCATCCACCACTTCGCCCTCTTCGCTCAGTTCGTCGTGATTACCGAGTCGACGTCCAAGGTCCGCCCGTGATTTTATAATACAGGGCATATGTACACGCATCCACAGCCTAAATCGCGGCGCGCGGCTCTCATCGAATGCCGCCTCGCAGCTGCAGTGCGCTGGGGTTGGTCTTCGTGGTGGAAGCCTTGGCCTTCTTACTCTTGTCGGACTGCCAGCACTTCCACAGTCGGATCGTTTCGTCGGCGGCGGCGCTGGCCACCGTGGAGCCGTCGGGCGATACGGTCAGCTCCAGTACCCGAGACTCGTGACCTGTAACACAGGGAGACACATAACGTCACGATCACTGCGATCGTCACAAAGCGCTCACGGCGACCGTCACACACCAGCCACAAAACATCCCAAGACCCTTAGGCGCAAAATGATCTTAGTGGTCGACGCGGCGCCCTTGAGCTCCAATTCACAACACCGCAACAGGTGGCCCGTTACACAGCCTTCCAGTCCCGTGGACGTACTGTCTTCCCGGATCAAGACTGCTTCAGCACACAATGCACACATATGCTCACCTGTGAGGTCGATCACTTTGGTCATCTGCGGGTACTTCCAGATGGTGAGCTGGTTGTAGCTGAAGCCGTGACCGGACATGATCTCCTTGAACTCAGCGGACCACACCAGAGAGCACACCTGGCAAAGGGAGAGCGGGGATCGGTCATATCGCGCTCAGACGGGTACGGAGGCAACATTCTTAATATGAAAACACGCCGTCAATAATCTCAATAACCCGGAATATATTGATATTGCTCGCGAGCATTGGTGTATACGGCGCATTTCGTACACAGGTTAGTCACAGTGTCCCCTACTTCACCTGCAAATAGCTCCATTAGAAGCCGTGATGTTCACCTGTGGTCTGTGAGGTAACCAAGCCAATCTCACCCGTTAAGCGGTGTGATGTGTGCCCTACCTGTCGGATTTGACAGGTCCCTTTCACATCCCCAGCCACTCGCATCACTCTTACCAAAGATCCGTGCACGTCCTATCTATCCTTATTCTATCCTTCTCACCAAATTTTCATGCACGTCCCATCCCTCTCACCACAGATTCGTGCACGTCCCATTCCTCTCACCTGTGAGTTAGTGGTTGTAGTGTTGAGCAGCTGGCCCGTGGAGGCGTTCCAGAAGCGAATGGAGCGGTCGGCCGTGCCGCCGCCGGAGGCCAGCAGGTGCGGGCTCCAGGGGCACCAGGAGACCGCCTTGACGGCCGCCTGGTGGGCGTTCAGGGTGTGCAGCGGTTCGCTGTTGGCGTCACCTACGGAAGCACAGGGCGAGACCGCGGGTGAAACAGTGGGTTAGACAGAGGATTAGACAGTGGGCTAGACATGGGATACATCACAGAGAGTCTGACATCGGGTCAGACTGGGTTAGATGGGTACGCCGAGGTCAGAGAGTGAGACAAGAGACCATCGAGTCAGACAGGATTAACTTTACTGATGAGACAAAGATGCATCTCGTCAGACAGGTCATACCGGTGCCAGACAGGGACATCAGAGTCATTCAGTCAGCCAGTCAGTCAGTCTGTCAGTCACTCATTCAGTCTGCCTGCCTCCCCCTCCCCCCTCTCACCAATGCCGGCGGCGGCGTCCCAGACGAGCAGTTGGTTGTCGTTGCCTCCGGAGGCCAGCAGGCGGCCCTCGTCGGACCAGCGCAGGCCGCAAACCTCCTGCACGTGGCCCGCCAGCGTGCCCACGTGGTGGTTGGGCACGCGCACGTCGTGGTTATGAATGGCCCCGCTTCGAGAGCCGCTGGAAGACGCAGAAGGAGTGGTGAGTCAACAGACACACAGTGCTGTGAGTTGAAGACGGAATGGGAAGAGAGCTGTAACAACGTAACAAGATGACCATAAACAAGTGTGGCGGAGTCATCATTGGACGTCGACAAGTTATCAGCAGTGTGGCAGTAAAGGATATTCCCACTCAAAGAGCGATGTACGAGTCACACATCTACCTTGGAGACGAGGTGGGTCCCTGACTGAGCTACAGACTCAGGCTAGGCCTCACATGTAGCCTGTGTAGTGTGTACGCATATGCCACTGACCTGGATATGATGTGGTTGTTCCAGGAGAGTGTAGAGACCCGCGCCTCGTGGCCGGCCATGACCCGCAGCCGCTTCTGTCGCGCCACGTCCCATAGCTGGACGGCGCCCGTGCTGTCCCCCACGGCCAGAAACGAGCCTGGCGGAGGACAAACCAGTCAAAAACCACGCACAATTACAAAACCAAAAAACCAATTACAGTGCTCAGAAAAATAACAACGGCCGCGCAGAGCAAGCGACTGAGCGGGGGCTAGGAGAAAGCATGTGAAGTTCTCAAACGTCGAAAAGTCTCTCGAGATCGTCATTCACAATGAACAACGTTTAGCGAACAGCAACGGACCTAACACAGACCAATATCTCTCTAAGCACAGACCAGCTTTTATCTCGCACCCAGCGACCAGACGGATGGGCGCCCGCCGCCGCTGCGCCGTACCTTCTTTTGCCCAGGAAAGTGAGCAGATATAGTCCTCCTGGCTCTCCATCTGTGTCAGGCTGGCGATGGTACCGTCGGCAGCGTTCCACACATACACCGAGCTGCCGAGCGCCACAGCCAGCTGGTTCGAGGAGCTCCAGTCAAGCAGGTGCAAGTAATAGTCGTCGAGTAGGTCGGGCGCGTCCAGAATCTTATCCGGCGCCGATGGGATGAAGCGTGTGGATGGTGCGCGCGGCGCCGAGGAGCGGCTGGCGCTGTACAGCACGCGCAGACCGTTGGCGTAGCCTGTGGGGTGGAGAGAGGGACAGACCGTCAGACGGATGACACCCGGTGGTGGGAGCCTGCAGGGGAGACTACGAAGCGGTTGAGAGCGTGAAGGAGTCGGCAGCAGTACACTAGGTGGGTGGAAAAAATTGAGCGGCGGTGACGGGACAGCCAGCGGAGATCGAGTAACGATAATAATTCCTTCACTTTCCTCATGATGAAAGAACATAATAATGTTCACAACTTGATATCAGCTACGTGAGCCAATTACGTTGAATGCCTTGGAATACCAACTGATCGATCTGCAAACTCGCATTCCCACATCATGCCACTTATAATTGAGCCTGTGTAAAAATGAAATCCCCACTATATCCTTACTATTCATTATTCAACACGATCTAATGAGCCAACCTCTCAGTTCAGCTACCCCCTCCTCACTACTCACTGTCCGACGGCTGCGGCGCCTTGGCGCGGAACGAGAGGATGCGGGTGTCGCGCGGTACACCGTTATTCAGCGTCTCGGCGAGCGCCTGTTGCTGGTCGGCGGTGGCCGGCGCCGCGGTGGCCGACCCCTCCGTCGGGCTGCCCGTGGCCGAGAAGCTGGCCGAGGCCGTGGTGTCGGCACTGCCGCCGCTGCCCGCGCGCACCAGCGAGTGATAGCTGTTCTCCATGTCAGTCGTGCCGCGACAGGGGATGAACCTGCGAGGGAGGAGGGCTGTTAGAGTGGTGCCGGCGAGGCGGTGTCCGCCAGACTGGCGGTCACCGAATACGCATCGAACTGAGCCTGTCCGTTGTGCTCACGAGACAGCGGAGTGCTGGGGTACCGACGATCCCAAACGGTCAATATGATTGCCTTTCGCTGTGTGCGAAGATGCTTTGCAATCAACGCTTTGCCTCCAACAAACCTATGCAAAGACATGGTTCACTTCAAATGCAGAGCGAATCACCCGACACCAAGAATCAGCATTACCCGGAACTCAGCCCCTCCCCTCCGTCGCCGTTTCTGCCCGGTCTCGCTCTCCCAGCACCCACCTGTCACCGCCGTTGGGCGTTTTTGGGGCCGCCCGGGTGGGGGTCCGTCCGCCGGGGCGCAGCGTCAGCGCACCGTCGGTGGTGTTGTGGCCCGGAGTGCCGGCACTACGGGCCGGACTGCTGCGCTTGCCCGGCGTCCGGCACCGGCCCGGCGACGACTTGTTGGAGCCGCCAGACAGGCCCGGAGTGTTCAGCGAGAGATTGGAGAGGTTTAGACCGAATCCTGATGGGATGAAAGGTGGTTTGACAGTACTCACGACACAACAGACTGAGCAGACTGCACAGATAGTGATGGTAGTTGGTACTTGGTACAATGGCTGACCTCAGCTTATAGTAAGGTAGGAACTTTTGGCAGTTAGAAGTACTTATGGTACTCTAAGTGATGCAAAACAATAACCACTAAATTTAATCATATGCAGTGTGTCAGGATCACTGAGTCACTTGGTCAGTGGTCACGAGAGCCTCAAAAACTAGAAAGTTGTGCTGCACTCACCTGAGGTATTGATATCTTTAGGAACATTGAGTTTTTGCACTCCCTGCTCCATTGCCTTCCTTTGCCATCTCTGAGTTGGGAACTTGTTCTCCATATTGGGCTAGAATATTCCACAGAATGCCTCTGGAAGAGTAACAAGCAAAACTTTAAATAAAGGGCTTTGTTAGTTCTGTTCATTAATGCATGCTCAGAACTCAGAAGACTTGGCAACAGACCTGTTAACTAAAAACCTCAACACCAGTTCCTCAGTGCTTAATTACTAGTTTATAAATTTGCTCAACAATTTAAAGGAAAATCTTGACCATCTTGGTTCTGTACAAAAACACTATTGGTAGTGTCTTCATCTTAGTCATGACTGTTCAAAGGCACTGTGAAACAGGGATGGTTCGAAAAGGATTCACATGTTAGTGTTGTTAGTATATGGACACCGGGTAAAGTTACCTACCTTGTGTTAGTTCATGCAGGGATTCTTCTGCCATGCAAGTAGACAGAAAGGAGACAAGGTATATGGCTATCTTTCTGTCTATGCAGTGAAATTGACAGTTCTGTTCTGTTTTGGTTAGTGTGGCATGGCAAATAAGACATACAGGTATCTAGCTCATACCTTCGTAGGCACCCTGCGGCCTGCAGAGTCCAGGGCCTTGTTTCACAGGTGATAGCAGCACGCTGCTATTACACATGTCAAATTGGGTTTCAATGGAGACGTCAACAAGCCCTTCAACAAGCTCTCCAATAAGCTCTCCAGTCATGAGTCAACAAGCTCTCCAACACTACCAGAAGTGTGACATCAGCTCATGAAATGGAATAGTAGCGTGCTGCTATCACCGGTGAAACAGGGCCCAGACTGAGAACACAGTGAAGTCTCTATCATTTATTATTTCAATTTGAGCTTGAGTTACAAGAACAACTACAAAAAAGTATCAACCCAATTCATTTAATTCTAAATAAGCATCATATACCATCTTGATCCTCGCTTTGAACCAAAATGACTTTCAAAGGAAAAATTCATTACAACAAAGGGTTTGATTTTTGAAAAGCACTTTGACTTGGCCTCGTCGACCCGAGGCTCGAACCACATTAGGTCAACGCTAGAAAAACGCTAGAAGGAATTCGATAGTCACCTTTTAAAACCTGCTTCTACTTTGATTATTTTTAGTCCTGAGTATATCCGCTTAATCAATAAAATATCAAATCCATCACATACACCAAATTGAAATACCAAACATACACTGAAATTCGCTGGCGTTCTTCAAACGCCGAAGGCAGTGCACCGGGAATGTCTAAGGTGCGCTTTTTTAGCCTTCTTCCATTTAAAATAGTAATGGGCTGGAAAGAAAATGTACTTCTTACTTTGATCACTTTCTACAGGATAAGCCTCTTCTTGCTCAGTTTGCATTTTCCAAATACATCAAAATCATTTTTATACTTTCCTAATATGCATAATTTCTTTTGAATCCTTCAATGAAGCATATGATTATTTAGTATCTTCACGACTCACAAAACTGGGAGCCCATTACTATCTCTATAAATAGTTGACTCGATCACTAAAAACTATCACTTGAACTATCACTAAAACTTGCAGAATAAATGCGTACATGATGCAAAGGTCCTGTAGGTAAAAAATAATCCATTCATCATCGTCATCCCTAAGATAAGACCATTAGCATCCCTCACGCTCTTCCTCTGGGCCGGCACCTGGCGATCACCCAATGCCTGCGCATAGCGATAGCTCTGCAATGGTCGAGTCTTTTTGGGCCAAGAGCTTGGCTCCCAACAAAAAAGGCGAAGATCTGCCGACAAGCGCATCTTCCAACAAAACTTGCACAACAAATTCATGAATTTATAGACATTGTTGAGTCGTGATGAATGCTGATTGTCTCAAAGACCTATGCTATGCAAAAACAAAACAGTTTTACCGTTCAAGTCATTGACGTATTGTTTTGTTTGTATGTTGGATAAGGCTGTTTCGGTCCGACGAGACGAGACCGTTTCAAAGCCGGAAGGAAGATAGGAATAGGAGACACTTGTCTGGGCGGGCATCCCCATACCCAGCCGGGCGCCGGGGCAACCCATCACGAGGACATCTAGGCCAGCCCAGCTCACGCCAGCCAGCACCGCTAGCGAGCACGATCACACAGCGCGAGCCCCCCGTAACACGATTGAAGTCGCGCGGGAGCGGGCACAACGAGCGGCCGATACCCTGGTCAAGTGGGCCCGGGAGAACAAGATGGAGGTGGCGGGCCAGAAAACCCAGCTTCTAGTTCTGTCTCAGAGCCACCGGGACGCCGTCGGTTGCCGCATCCGTGCGGCGGGCCAGACGGTGGAAGGAGGCCCTGAACTGAAGTTACTCGGCGTAACGCTGGACAGGACTCTGGGGTTCGGCCCCCACTGCAGGAACCTCCGCCGCCGCGTCCGCCCTCGCATCTCTCAACTACGACGAATCACCGGTCGCAGCTGGGGCCTGGAGGAGAGACAACTCCGGGCCGTCGCCAACGGCTACGTTAGGGGAGCCATCGAACATGCGGCGGCCGCCTGAATGCCGGCGGCCGCCAGGACTAACATTGAAGTTCTGGAACGCGAGATGCGTGCCGCGGCCCGAGTCATAACGGGCTGCATCGGGTCGGCCCCCATCCACGGAGTAATGGCCGAAGCCGGCGTGGCCCCGGTCGCGGCGCGCCGCACAGCACTGGCGGCGAGGATGCTGGCGAAGGCCATGGCACTGCCCGAGGAGGACCCGCTACACCGACTGGCCGTGGCGGACCCACCGCGGCGCCTCAAGACCGTCTGCGGATGGCGCCAGTTGGGTCGGGAGGTGTGGCGGACCCTTGGAGTGGAGCCACCGGTGGAGCCGTTGCTCCCCGTGCGCCCCCCGCCCTGGCAACCGACCGGCACGATCAGCTTTAACCTGGACATCGGAGCGGGGCTCCCAGCCGGAGCTGCCGCCTCCACGAAGAAGGAAGCCGCCCTACACCACCTGGCGTCCCTGACCCAATGTGCGACCTGGGTGTGGACCGACGGGTCGGCGACTGGAGGCGTTCTCTGTGGAGGGGCCGGCGCGCTGGTCGTCCACGCCGATGATGACCGCACTGAGCTGAAGAGGCCCGCAGGAGCGCTCTGTTCCAGCTTCAGGGCGGAGATGCTGGCCATCGCAATGACCCTGGAACATCTGGCGACACACCCTCGTGACGACACACTGCCAATAATAATCTGCACCGACTCACAGTCTGCCCTGGCTGCACTGAGAGAGGGGCCTTCGGCCCAGAGGACGGTCCAGGGGGCGGAGATATGGAGCCGCCTGCTGGAAATCGCCACACCGGACCGCCACGTGACGCTGCAGTGGGTCCCATCGCATTGTGGGATCCCAGGCAACGAGGCGGCGGACGTGCTGGCGGGGGAGGCGGCGGCGCTGGACCAAGAAATCGCCTCCATCGACGTCAACACCGTCTACAAGGCTGCGGCCCGTCTAGCCAGGGACCAGGCGGCCAGGGACAGACCGTCATACCCAGACCCGACACGCAGAGCGGCGACCGGCTGGTACCGGGAGCTGATGGGTACGAGATACCCGCCCCCGGTCTCCGGCCTGGATCGGCGGACAGCCATCGATGTCCACCAGATCCGGACTGGCCACTGGAGTGGATCGACCCAGTTCCTGCACTCCATCGGCCGGAGCCCCTCAGCCGCCTGCGCCCAATGCCGGGACCTGCTATGCGAGGCCGCCCGGTGCCCGCTGTGCGGCGAAGAGGCGGACACCCCCCGGCACATCCTGCTAGTGCTCACGTGCCCGGGCCTGATGGGTGTTCGCCTCAAAAGCCCGGCCGTAGGGAACATCCTACCAACACCCGACGAGGTCTGGCGCAGTGACGTGGTGGCGGCCCTGGTGGCCGCCTTCAGGGCCCTCCAGAGCCGATGAGGCTACGCCGCGGGGCCACCCGCGGCCGGAGGGAAAATCAACAACAACAACAACAGCCCCCCGTAGCCCGGCCATGGGCCCGCTCCTGGGGGCGGGTGCCGGGTGGAGCTACCAATGTAGAATAAAGTTACCCGGATCCAGCCCGGAACAGGGGGTCTTGAGATGTGGAGGAGAAGGATTTGACGATCCTGAGGATAGAAACGACGGAACGGCCAGGATTGACTCATCTCAAGACTCAAAGTCGCATATCAGCGTATGAAGCTTGGCTTAAGCTTGGCCGAAGCTTGGCCATTTAGAATATAGGACCACCTTTGTGATCTTGCTCGCTCTGGCCATGGCGTGCCGTATACAATACTTAATGTGATAAACCACCCATTACTGTCGAATGTGGTGCTCTCGCTAACATCTGTTATTTCTGTTTCGTCCTCAGGTACACACTCATATCGGTCGAATTTAGTTGAATAAAACCATTGTATTCATACTACAACTTTTGGTACCACAATTTATTCAACTAAATTCATGACAAGACATGGAGAGGATCGCCAGACCAGACAAGTTCGACGTCCCTCCAAACGATCCTCAAGCTCACAAGAAATGGAAGCTCTGGCTCCGAGGATTTAAGTACTTTTTGACGACTATCGAAAGTCACAATCCTGACAAGCTCGAACTACTCTTCCTCCATATCGGACCAGAAGTCGTGGACGTGATTCAAGACTGTCAGACGTACGATGCAGCCCTGAAGCAACTCGACGCTGCATATCTGAAGACGCCAAACGAAATCTATGCGCGGCACCTGCTGTCAACGAGGCACCAAAAGCCAGAAGAAAACATCGACGAGTTCCTTCTGGCCTTGAACAACCTGGCGGGTGACTGTAACTTCGCCGCCGTCACAGCCATAGAGCATCGCGCGGCATTCGTGCGCGATGCCTTTATCAGGGGCCTGAGAAACGCCAGCATGAGAACCAGACTACTGGAAAACCAGACTCTGACCCTAGACCAAGCGGTCCAACAAGCGCGGTCACTGGAGCAAGCCGCACGAAACGCGGAATCCTACCTGTCCCCGACGGTACGGGTCGATCCGGTCGCAGCCTCCGCCGCATCTCCAACTGCAGACGCTTCCGTAGCTGCAGCCTCACAATCTCCGTGTTTCTTCTGCGGACTAAAACGCCACCCACGAGCAGCCTGTCCTGCAAGAAACTCAACCTGTGGGAAGTGCGGCAAATCTGGACATTGGCAGAAGGTGTGCCGCTCCAAGTCGGTGGCTAACGCGTCGGCCGTACAGGAGGAGTACGAGTCCTACCCTGAAGAACCTCGCCAGCCGGAGCTCTCGCCCACGCTCGCAGCCTCAAGCTCTGCCGCCGCTACTCACGCGCCAGCAACAGTGAGCGCGAGAGTCAACGGGCGTCAGGTTACAGCTCTCATCGACACAGGGAGCTCTGACAACTTCATCAGCGCAAAGCTCGTCCCCGCACTCGGCATGAGGGTGCTGCCACGATCGTCTAAAGTCTCCATGGCATCGTCCAGTCTCTCAACACAGGTGCGAGGATACTGCGTGTCAACCGTGACCGTTGACGATCGGGAGTACCAGGAGGTCGAACTGTCCATCCTCCCGGATCTCTGCACGGACGTCATTCTCGGCATGCCGTTCCTCCGAAGACACGAGGGTGTAACCCTGGAGCTCGGTGGCGACGAACCCGAGCTCAGTATCTGCAATCTCGCGCAGATGAAAGTCAGTCAAGCGGCATCCCCGAGGCTCTTCAGCAACCTCACCCCCGACTGCCATCCCATCGCGACCAGAGCACGACACTTCAGCCACGTGGACGAGAAGTTCATCGAGAACGAAGTTCAACGTCTGCTAAACGAGGGCGTCATCGAGCCAAGTCGCTCACCCTGGCGTGCCCAAGTTGTCGTCACACACACGGAGAACAAGAAGAAAAGGATGGTCGTTGACTTCTCTCAGACTATCAACAGATTCACTGAACTGGACGCGTATCCTCTGCCGAACATCGGCGAGCTCGTCAACAAGGTCGGGAAAAACAGCTTCTTCAGCGTCCTCGACCTCTCCAGCGCCTACTACCAAATCGAGATCGACGCATCTGAGAGACCCTACACAGCGTTCCAAGCGGCAGGAAAGCTGTACCAATTCAAGCGAATCCCCATGGGGGTGACGAACGGCGCAGCCGCCTTCCAGCGCGTCATGAATGACATCATCGCGGCCAACAACCTGAAGGAGACCTATGCTTATCTGGACGACCTGACCATCTGTGGCCAGACGAGGGAGGAGCACGATGAGAACCTCCGGCGCTTCTGGGAGGTTGCCG